TCTCAGGCGTCTTAGCCACAGTGTTTCTAGTCCTAGGGTATCACATCTAGTGGAGTAGTTCGTACCATTTTCAGTTCCGAGTAATTTTAACGTGAAGTACCTCTGCACTCCCTCGACTTTCAATTTGTCCTCTATGCGTATGCTACTATACATGAATGAACAGTAATCAAATTAAGGACGCACACAAACCTTGTACAACAGAATTCTAGACTCATTTCTGTATTGGACGTAACATTTAATGTACCATATCTAAGTGCATTGGTTACTGATGAATAATTCCTACCCATTTTCAAACAATTTCACTTTTCTATATGAGTTTATGTTTGACAATCTGCATTGCCCCATGAATGATTTTAAAAGATGTGAATTAAATTGATCAGAACTGCATGCAGTAAAGCCAATGTAGACTGTTTCATCAGAGTCCGAAGACCTTGTTGAATGCGTTGCACAGCGATATGGAAAGTGGATGACTAACGAGGATCTCCCGGACATACAAGCTGTTGTAGTATCAAAAGTCTCAGGACTTGACATCAATAAAGGAGGGGGTGAGGCATGCTGATCAGCAGTTACGGTGGTGATCACAAATGTGAATCGTTCCAATCTGTAGGACAGAAACTTGCATTTTTTGAGGTCTCGAGAATTAAAAATAAGTCTAGATCCTCAACAAAAAAATAGGGGTTGAACAGGTCTAAATTATAAAAAATGCTTTTGCTCCTGCCATCTACAAGTCTTCTAGGCTTCTTGTCAAGGTGCTACCCCATAGGCCCTGCAAAAAGTCGTGAAACATCTTACAGGTCAGAACATCCTACAGGTTCTAATCTTTCAAGCCGCTTCTCTCTGAAATGTCACTTATATACTTCACGACAATCCTTTTATCTAATTACCATTATACCCTATTTTATCTTAACTCCCTAGGCCTTTAATAAAGCTAAAACTTAATCTTTTCATTCACGTTATCCGCTCCATAAAAGTCTGGTTGCTCTGGTGAAAAAACATTACAACCAAACTTAGGCTTGAGTATAGCTACATCCTCATAGGAAATGTCATAGTTTCCATGCTTAGACCAATATGTTAAGCATTAAACATTGCAAATGTGTATTATCATTCCAAGTTCTCTAAAGCGCTTCCTTGTATTTATCTTGTAAATGTACTTCCAATGATGTATTACCCTTAATTACATTTTATACCATTTTTTAGCTTCCAAGGACATTGTTCTCTTCCTGAAATAACTTTTAATCACGTGGGGGCATAGCATTTACCCAAATGCAGGCTGTTCATTGGTTGGTCATAGCAATAAGCAAAAGAGGGAATGAAGTTTGGGTTGTCGCTCATCTCTGATGGTGACCTTAGTGAAATGTTAACAATTTAAAATTTGTAAGAACCTGTTCTGATTTCATGTACAAGGTGCTAATTTATTGTGCTTCACGATTTTAATTTATAAAACATACTTGGAAAAACGGCATGCATTTCATGTAAGCTTACTCGTTTATACGAAGTATTTATTGTTGTTACGATCAAGCACGACATAAATTGCCATCGTGAAATATAGATGGATTACTGATGTTTCAACAGTCAATACAACTGATAAATTGTTAAACCGAGAGGAAGTTACCGTACATATATAGATACATACTTCATATGAAGATAAAACTTGTGCACCGTGGTAGAGTATATTTCTGTTAAATTTATTTTGATAAAGTCTCACAGTGTTATATAGTAATATTTACTGATAACTTTTCGAGCAAATTTTATTGCTCGTGATCATATCAAGGGTGTACTTGGTTTCCAACTTCAAAAGTAGGCTATACTACAAGCATCATATGTTATATAGACGACGTTGGAATACAATCGCTTTGGGGGGATTTGGAGCTAAGGATTGTCTCGGGTACAGTGACATCCCGAATCGACTTAATTACGTGATGGAAACGGTTGGGAATTTCCTCTGGTGATTCATTCGTGAAGAATGAACCGCATTTAGGGTATTTAATTAGGGACTGGCACAAATTCCATTCACAGTGTGTGTGCAGCCTTGTAGGTGTACGACCTACTCGGTCACTGCGTTTTGTTTCAGGGAAGATGCTAAACGAATTCTCCGCTGTTTTACGATCACCGCCTGGAAATCCATTTTCTACACTTATTGTCGATGGTGTTTTGTTGTCCACAAATATAAGACCTAGGATCTAGTAAGTCAATACACATGTTGTATTCCCTACCCATGAAGACGGAATTCGGATTATTATATCTTCGGATTCCTCGAAGTGAACGACATGATATCTCTTGTATATTGGAATCACCTCCAATAAGTTGATGAACGAAAGGAAGATCGTCTGTAACATTAAAAATGCTACTGGGTATGTCTTCATACTCCTGGAGGTTGGCACACGCGTCCCGTCAGTATAGGTTTGCTTCTGACAACTTCTGCCTCGACCCACGCCTAGTCATTCATCTGTGATATAACTGGATTACTGAACTGTGTTAAACATATGGATTGCTTGGGCCTGACAGTTCTCTATTCCAAATGGGCTGTCATGATTTCAAAGATTGTAACTGACGTGGAGGCAGATTCAGTTATTGTCCTGGAGGACTTAAAGACCAGTTAGCTTGAAGTAGAGAATAAATTTTAGCTTAAGACATCTTTTCCAGAGTGGCTTTACTTTCAGTCTGTTGCAGTGTTCAGAGTAGTCAAGACCACATTGTAAGCCAAGAGTTTTAAAGAGATTGCCGTTGTACTTCTTCTAATTTAAGCCTGTCATTATGTCAGAGTCCGCCATGAATAAACCAGCGGTATTCTAAAGTAGACCGAACGCATACTTAATGGTTTCACTTGCTTGTCAGGACTGGGTTATCATAATCAGTGACGGTTTGCATTTGGAAGCTAATGTACTTAACGTTAAATATTTGTTTAGAATTGGTGTAATGGCTATCTGGATGATAGATAGACCCTGGCCTCTTGGCTCAAGTCCATGGATCACATATCGAGAATAATGGACAGTTGAGAGGTTGCTATCAATATACTCAACAAAAACAGAAACGATTAACAGCTATTTTGAGTGTTCAGGTTTTAGATGACCTTGATAGACAATGGGTTATCTGGTAATTAAAAATATTGTCAGCCGTAGATAGCCTGACCTTCACAGAGAATGGAAAATACATAGGACGGCATGAATGATGGATGGCTGCAAAATATAGTTAGCCAAAATCGAGACAGAGTCAAGGGTATGTGAGAGGTTTGGTATGAAGAGTAGCTTTTCAATGAACTGGATCATGATGAAGATGACTTGACTCCAGACTTACGCTTTTCCTGTGTAGACTGCTTTAATTGAGAAGATCTCAGAATTGGTCAAGGTGCCAAGATGCTACGGTGCTTTATATGCCTTGGTCTGCCATTTATAAAGCTCATTCACGATACACTCCAATGTGTACTGAGGGACAAGCAACGTGATAATGGTGATTCTCAGGTGGAAAAACAATGTACTGATTACGGTTATTCAGGAAGTTAATCGTGATATCTGTAGTGCATTTGATACGTCCGTGAACAAACACTAGAAGGAGGAATCTGTATGTATACCTCTCTGGTGAGTGTATATCGAGAAAAAACCTATGCTCAGGGTATATAATCGACTGTCTCAAGACATGTAGCATTGATTCAGTATCAAGGCAGTAGTGAGTCTTATAGAGTGGTAGCCTATGCAACATAATAATGTGCACTTATTGGAAGCTCATCAATTTGTACTGTCGTTTTGTTTGGACTTTTCAATTCAGTTTGTGAGAAAATCAAAGAGTCCCACAAATGTGCCGGAACAGAGATATCACTAGAGTAAAGACCGTTAAAACCTGAAGAACCGAACGAGACTGTTGACAAGTACGCAGACATGGTTGCAATGACCAAAGAGATTGTTTCTGACTCCAGACTTACCAACAAAAGGCGAAGGTATTTACACCTAAAGAGGACCACGTGAAAGTTGATAAACTGAATTATTACCGTAGATCATTTGCTGAGAAATGTCTGGATTAAGACCATAGACGTTAGCAGACTTATCGCCGCAACTTCTTCCCTAGCATATGTCAAGAGCTGAAGGCGTCCAGCCACTGTATGTTGCACCAGAAATAACCCCTGCCTGGAAACTGAATGTCCCTAATAGTTTAGGAATATTGGTCTCCGGTGAGCAGAATTTTCCACGCAGCTTTTCAGACATTATCCCTCAGGAAACAGTGTACACCGGAAAATTTCCTCACAGCTTGAGTGAGGTGATAAGCGTGTTCTGCAGGCTAAATGAGGAAGACCAGCATAAATCAGGATGACCTACCGCAACGCGTACGCCTATATATGTGGAACTGACTCGAAACCAGTTCAGAGGGATAATCGATTACTTCTGGCAGATCTTCTCACGAAGCATTAGATGGGTACCGGCTAACGCTCCGAAAGTAACCAAATAACCATAAGGCGAGTCATAAGACATCTTAGCAACAAGTAACACTGTAGCGTGAATAACTGTTTTTAGAATACTGTCATCCATCTAGCTTTTAGCATATTTTTCAACCCAAAATAGATTTCTCAAGTTTTGTTTTGCTTTCATTGTTTGCGTATCCCAGGTAACCATGGAGGTTATGGGAGTTTCATTACCTTCAGTAGAATAATGAAGTTCTGGACATTGGTACATTTCACTTGAAATATCTCCAATAACAACGGGCTTTAAACAATTATTGAACTATGCCCATACTATTTACAAGGGCTCAGAATGTTGCTGAAGCCTTGTGATACTTTTTTACTCCTGACAAAGCTTCTATTGAATAGACAGCGCACATTTCTGTTTACATCAATGTGAAGGGTGGCATATTTTTCCTTAAATGAGTCAAAAATAATTAAGGGTGCACTCTATTAAGAGTCAAAAATACCTAAAACACATATCTGACTCTGAAATCTGTCAGATATTAACAAGAAGCGATGAGCTAATTCTGACTAGTTTTTCACTATTTGGGTTCAGTTTTAATTCGGTGAAAACAAGGTCATAAGGACATCAACCCGCCGCGTCTTCCAAAAGTTTGCGTCACAATCTACTTTAATTGTGGTTTTGTGATTGATGACTTGACAGCTTCTACCGCCTTATCAGGATGATACATATTTGCGTTTATAACTGAAGATCCTAGTACAAAAATTGCTTTATCCATTCAAGTCCGAACGTGTTACGTAATTTAGGCTTAACAGTTGCACCTCTGAATTATTCACCCTGTCCTTATTGACAAGTTAGCACTTATTCTGTGGTATTCAAGTGATTAATTGAATAGACTGTATGAAAATTCCCTCCATTCAGTGCTTCGATTCGAATTGAAATGCTGCCATATTTTGATTACCAGTTCCGTGTCATCATAATTGGTGATAGTATGGTTGGAAAATCCTCCCTGATGAAAAGTTTCGTTGAAGGAAATTTCTCATCAGTATCTGACCCAACCATTGGGGTAGATTTTTTCTCTCGAACTGTACGAATTCAAGAGGAAGTGTTCGTTAAGCTGCAACTATGGGACACTGCTGGTCAGGAGAAATTTAGGTTTGTTTTGAAAGCGTTTTTGCCTTATAATTCCAGGTCTATAACCGCGTCCTACTATCGAAACTGTGTTGGAGTCCTTATTGTATTTGATCTAACTGACAGAGAAACATTTGACCATGTTACTGATTGGTATGAAGAAGCTCGTGGTTCCATCAAGTGCTCTGCTCCTGTATTTATAATAGTGGGTCACAAAGCTGATCGTCGTGACGAGCGACAAGTAAGTTTTATGAGTAAATTTTTTTCATTATGAATATCTTTAGACACAGAGTCTAGTTAATGATTTGATACTTTCAATATTGTAAAAAACAGGAATTAAATAACTATTGTCAGTTTTATTGTTGCGCATGAGTTAGGAATTCAAGGACGTTTTTTCAATTACACAGTTGTCGCTTAATACATATGTGTTTGCACTATCCAGCTTATGATTTTGCGGGGTTTTTTTAGATTTTTTTTTATCTGAGCAGTCGAGTAATATCAACGATTACCTGAAATTCACACATAAATTCGCTTCGTTTCACGGTAGATATGTGATCATTACCACAGGCATCATAGTTTTGGTGCTTACTGTACAAAATAGGGTTGTTTTCTAAGAAGAGCTTCAATTCGCCTAAACTTAAATTACAGAGACTATTTAGTAGTACAATTAAACCTTGTTTATTAAAAATTACTTCACTGAGATGTGACCACTATGGTACGCTCCAATATGCTAAAAGTTAGAAGTATTTTAAAACCTGACTTTCAGTGTATTGTTTTTACAAATTGGCACCGACTATAAGAACACAGCAAGAGAATTAAAAGGATTGTTTATTATAGAGCAGCATATATTGCTCTGATATTTCTTAGGTGCATGTTATATGCGTTTATTAAGGTGTTCCTAGGTGTATATTCTCTTTCAATATCCTTTTTGCCGTAGAAATCTCAGCAACTTCGTTCCTATGTTCTTTGTCTAATTTTTCCCTTTGTGCTTTCTTGTTCACACACATACGTATATCTGATAATTTCGGTGTTTCAAACTATCACTTCAAATAGGAAACTTTTCACAATAGGTTCAACTGCATAATAAGTAATATTGCTTACGTGCGGGGTGGATTAGTTCGTGTATATCAACTATGACATTCATACTGAGCTTGCATTATCCTTCAAGGAAGGCAATGGCTGGTCGCTCTTGATACGTGTCTCTATCACCTCAGTTTACAAAACTTCACAGCTTTGTTGATTGATGTAGGCTTATCTAGTAATATGCTTAATCTGAGCGTTAACTATCATTCTGTGCTACATAATGTTAGCAGTAGAATCAAGACAACTATGGTCAGAAAACGTAGTCCTTTTAAAACTTTTACTCTCGGTGGTCATCTATGACAGCTGTAGGATAAGACGGTAAATTATCGCACATTACACATTTCCTTTGATTAATAACCGAATATTTCATTGATTCTGGGATTGATTCAAGTTATTAAATGCCAATGAGCGAATTTTATACATGCTGAAATTTTGTTAACACATACTCGATTATGACTTATATGAGTTTCTAAATTGGAGTTGGAGCTGGTGCATACCAGTCGTATTACATCATCCTATACTTGACCGCCATGCGTGGGTGGCATAGCGGTTAGGACGCTCGCCGACCATGCACATGGTCCGGGGTTCGATCCCCGGCCGACGTACTCCTTTACCTCGCTAAGCCAGAAATGATATTGGTGAAGAGGAAAGGGTGGGCATGAGGCTAGCAACCCCATCCTGTAAAATAAACACCGCTACAGAAACTTGAAGCCCTATGTCCCACTGGGAACGTGAAGGAATAAAAAAATACTTGACCGCCAGACAGAAATGGAGAAAAACGAAGTCAACTGAGAAATATGAGGGAATTCTTGAAATCAGTTGATGCTAGTAGTGCTGTAAATAACAAGGAATAAGGTTTTGAGTTTGGTAAAAATTAGAATAAATATAAAAAACACACTGGACCAGTCAGAAAATTCATCAGTGTGCTTACTTAATCCTGTTTCGAAATAACTTTTACTTCATACTTTGATAGGTCAGTAAAATGGAAGCTCAATCTCTTGCCCAACGACTTGGTGACTACACCTACATAGAAACATCTTCACTTACTGGACAAAATATTGAAAGAGCATTTGAACTTCTTGCTGAAGGAATATATGCTAATGTAATAAAAGGAAGTTATAATGAGGTAAATAGAAATATGTATTTATTTTTGTTTTCATTTGTCATTGGGGTCATACTTATTGCATTTTTGGTAATAACCGGCTGGGATAACTTTATACATTATTCTTATTCATCATTGTCTTTATGAATAAAAACACTCAGTGGTCAGGATTGACATTCCATATATGATTCTCTTTTATAGTGAAATATGGATGTACTTAAAGTAGTCTGTGAATCAACTGGGCATGCCACTACCTAGCCCTTTTAATTTCAGTGGATAACTAGAGATGTGATTCATATTTCCCAGTGTTAGGTTTCAGGGATTTAGTGGATTTCAATTGCGATCACTAAATGACTTCAGTTAGAGAGATGTATCAGAGACGAGGGGGTACTAGACGCCTGTTTCTTTCCTTTTAAGGGCTCTTTAGTAATACTAACCAACCGACGATCTCACTAGGGATCGATTCTCTGCAAACCAACACTTGCAAATTAATCTAGTGCTCACTAGTAAATTATTGTAGAATGAAATTGCTTGAATTTCGGTGAAGTTTTGACCAACGGGGTTCAACAAGTTGTGTGTAAGGACAAATACTCACAGTTGGTATTGGCTGGCCATTGAGCTATGTATCGCAAATTAACAAGAGTTGGAGTTGTTGATGGGCTGTTGGATTTCGACCCAGTGACTGGAAATGGTCAACAGGCATGTTTTATAACCTGTAGGTGCCGGATTCGATCTCTAGTAGGTGGGGCCATGGAGGTTTATACTGTTGGACACTCCAAAACAACAATGAAATAGATGTTCAGTACTCCCTGATATCCAGTTGTTCGCCAACTGAAGTCAGTTTGCCATCAGTTTCGAAACCAGTTAAATCCCTCCACTAACCAATATTTAATTTCTATCTGTTGATGAGTTACACAAATAATTTTATTCTTTGTTAGATCCTTGAACAATCTTATGCAAGTTATGAATATTAGAACAAGTCATATGTGCTAACAATATTGCTGTTTTCGATTAGATCTTCTTCAGGCTTTACTCTAGTTTACGTAGATTTATATTTAGAAAATTTAACTAATGACGGTTAGTTTGTGGATTAAATTATAAAAAAATAATAATGATAATAATAATGTGTTAAGTGTTTTGGATGTTAGTAATAACGTTGATTATAATGATAACAAACATATTGATAATAAGGTTTATGCAAGTGGTAGTAAGAATAACAAAGGTAGTAATATGTATATATGTGTAAAACTTGGGCACTGTGTAGTAAGTAATTCGATATTAGTTTGTTTATTAGATGTATCACACAGTGAGTGAAACAGTATTATTTACTGGATGACACAGTTTCGAACAAAATTTATTGTTCATAATCACATCGTCAATTAAAATCACACGACTTTGACACTTGAGTTTTATAGTTTCCTTTGTTCTCTCCTATTTCTCGTCATGGGGGTGGTAGAATTTTCCAGATGTCCAGGTGGACAGGTGTTGAATCATTCCTATTACAAGTGTTGGTTTGCAATTGATTCGATATACAAAGCTTCCGTCGTTATCAATCTCTCCCTCCACCCTGTTGTAACATTAGATTTTCAAACTGTCATCTTATCCCATTCAGCCTATTGTATGATTCCTTCCTTGTAAGGTTCCTTCTTTGTATGGAATTACTACTGATGATTTAGATTCCTTGTTGTTGGTGGTGTCATTATCTTGCGCATATTTGACATGCATGTCGTCATTATTATTATCACTATTCCTACTATCATTATTTATTTTATTTTTACATGTGTTTGTGTAGACAATTCAATAAAGAAATAAGTTGAGTCAAATCTTGAAAGTTACGTAATACTAAAGGTGAAGTGGACAGATAATCAGAGTTTAAATAAAAAAATGTCATAAAAGTATGAAGGAAATAGAAAATTAGAAAGGGTGGGAGTTTTTTTGATTAGAATTTACCTAAGCCAAGGGAGGGATATAGGTAGAACAAACTTCTTTTGTATGCGAAGACTAGGATTGTTCTCTCAAATTCCCATAGCATTGCCTGTATGTATGTAGAAGGCGCGTTCGAATTCCGTTTGAAAGGTTCAATGGAATGCGATAGATAACTATGAACGCGCTTATTCTTCTGTCCACTTGGTGGCTGCTATCAATCAAATGATTCAAAATAGGACTCCTTATAGATTTTATTTGGCCTTTTCTGAACCATTGAGGAAGGAAAATACCCAGTAATACGTTTGTTGAACTGTTTAGTTGTTCGCCCTGTATTAGCTTTCTCCTCAGGAGCCGCTTAACTTATAAGTGTACATAGTAGTGGGATAGCTAGGTAGCTTGTCTTTTGCTTAGGCAATCATAATCGGTGGGCTGGAAAATGGCAAAGGGTGGCGGCAGTATAAGTCTGTTTTAATGTCTCTAGACAATCTTAGATGTAGGACTTCATTACTAGTCACATCCCCACTGAATTCCAGTTTCAGAAACAGTTGTTTCTTTTTAACTGTTTTCGGTTTCTCTTTATTATACATGGCGTTCATGTGTCTCCTGGAATGTGTCGTAATTATTACTAAGGTGGAAAACATTTAAAACGTCATTATTATTTTCTTATAATTTGACCCACATACTCTCCGTCATTGGTTTAATGTTTTTATACATATAAATCTATGTAAATTAGAGTAAAGCCTGAAGAAGATCCAATTGAAAGCAATATTGTTCGCTTATATGTTTTGTTCTTATACTAATAACGGGAATATTTACAGATTTGAATAGTCAGTCTTTCTACGAGTTGATCACGGATTGATATCAGTTAGAGAACCATTGAAAACCAGGGAGTTCTGGACAGCTGCTGTTTCATCCTAGTTTGGGAATCATCGGCAGTACGCACCCACCAACGACAATGGTTGGGGTCGCACTAAATCACGGATTGTTAGAAGTTAGAATTCATGAGCCATTGATTCGGGTCCCAGTGGCTGAATAGTATATGAGCTTGCCTTGTAACCGGAAGGTCCTGGGTTCGAATCCCAGTGGGTGCGTACTGCCGATGATTCTCAAACTAGGATGAAACAGCAGCTGTCCAGTACTCCCTGGTTTTCAGTGGTTCTCTAACTGATATCAATCTGTGACCAACTCGTAAAAACATAACTAACCTTTACAAACCAAACTATTGAAAAGTCAGTCTTTCTGTTCTGTGTCACTAGAACTACATCTTATTTTTGATTGGAAAATGTATTTCCCATGCTGAAATAAAAGCATGCAAATACTGCTTCCTGTCATTCATATATGTTAGGCAGATTGAAGAGTATTACTTCATTTTTAGTATTGATTTCTGATATTTCTTAAAAGATTGTTTTATTTTTCAAATTAATGAATATGTTGGTATTATTCTAGATCATATGAAACTAAGTGTCTGATATTCATTGAATGTTATCTGCAAGTTGATATAAGTATAAAACTTGGGCACTGTGGTGGTAGAGTATAACTCCATTATAGATAAGATTTTATTTTTGATAAGTCACAGTGTTATACAGTAATATTTACTGATGACGTTTCAAGCATACATTATTGCTCATAATCATATCAAGTCACTCACACTTCATTTATATAAATGAGTGAAACTGATGATTAGACATTTGAATAGAAATCAGTATGGGATAATATACATTCAGAAATAATAATATGAGTGTTACTGATCAATTACAATCAGATGGGAAATAAGACGAGTGTTTTTATAGTCATAATAAGTAACTTGTTAGAATGTCATAATGTATTTGAATTGAAATAGAATATTAAGATTATTTATTATCCTCCTCTGATTTGACTGATTGGTGGTAATAATATCTTCCATATTTCTGGTATTTTTGCATTGAGTCATTTCTGTTGCATGTGTTGTGTTGTGTTGTGTGAAGACTTAATTAACCACGCAGGATTCAGTAGTCAATCTCTCTCGCTCTCCACCTACCTACCTATATTACTTTTTAGAATTTTGACTGTGTCCCATCCTATTCTGTGATTGTGTGTTAATGCACGCGTTGCAATCGCTTAGCTTTTTTCTAAATTACACATCTTCTTGGGGTCAACCATTCCTACCTTAGCTAAATTCTTATGTTCCGACAATGTGATTATCCCTGATCTCCTAGTTTGACCGATGTAGTTGACTTAACTCACAGTCATTGCAGGGTATTTTGTAAATTATATTATTTTGTCTAATTGGGTCCACTGGGTGCTTTAGCCTAGTCTCTGAGTGAGTTTGTAGGTTTGAATGCCACCCTAATTCCTGCTTTATTGAGAATCCTACGTAGGGTCTCAGATGTCCCCTCCGTACATGGTATAACAGTAGATTCCTTATAAGGTCTCAATGTAAATACCAGAGATATGGAAGATATTATTACCACCAGTCAGTCAAATCAGAGGAGGATAATAAATAATCTTAAAATTCTATTTCAGTTCAATTCATTTACATTATAACATTCTAACAAGTTACTTATTATGACTATAAAAACACTGGTCTTATTTCCCATCTGATTGTAATTGATCAATAACAGTCATATTATTATTTCTGTGCGTCGGTGGCACAGCGGTTAGGACTCCCGCTGACCATGCCCATGGTCCGGGGTTCGAGCCCTTCCCGACGCACACCCGATATCAATGATCGGCCTGAAAAATTGGGCTACCGATATTACATGCTGAAAATTCCATGCTTGTGCCAAAAATACGGTGTGGAATCAAGCCATAATCAAAAAAAATAAAATATATTAATTTTTGATTGCATAGAGGTTTCATAATGAGCTGACATCATTTAGAGAACCACTGAAAAACAACCACAGGGAATACTAGACAGCTGTCTCGTTAGCCTAGTTTGGGGCTCTTCAGCAGTACGCACCCACCGGGGTTCGAACCCAGGAACTTCTGGTTACAAGGCGAGCTCGTAGACCATTGAGCCACTGGGACCCAATCCAATGGTCCTGGAATTCTAACTTCTGCCAATTCACGACATAGCGCGGCCATTTCGCAATGCCTTCTTCGATGAGTTACTGCCTCATCTTCAACTTGCGGTACCCTACTGGTCACGGCTTCTCACTGGAACCCGATGTTAACTGCCTGAATAGGGCCAGTCGCTAGTGAGCATCAGATTAATTTTCAAGTATTGGTTTTGTAGAGATTTTGTTCGATTGAGTGCATGGAGGATTTCATCATGAGCTGACATTTTGTCTGTCAATTATTTTGAATGATGCCTGCGCGTCTACTCTATGTCCTCGTCCTGCATCTATCAGGTGTTGGGTGATTGAAGGGCTTAAACTGTTTGAACCCTCCAACCGGAAGCTCCCTTGTACATGTTTGGAGAATATTACGTAGACCCGATGTTTCATTTTACTATTGTAACAACAGAAGACAAGGGCCAGGCAACAGATCGTTTATTAAGGAAATCAAAGCATATTTATATATTTTCATGTACATTATTATAGTTTCGTTAAGCAAACAAACACAGTCTTCTGATTGGTTGTTTCTCACTTAAAGTTAATCTTTCATCTATTTGTGACTGTTTCTTGACTGTCAGATCATCTATATGTTAACTGTATCCGCCTACGCAAAGTCTGTTGTGGTCGGTTTTGAATCAGTCTTTGTTCATATTTTCTCACGACAAATCTTGAGAACGTAAACATTGACGTAAATTACTGTCTACCAATTTGGCTAATAGACAGTTCTCACCACACTATGACGTTCCTACAAAATGGCTGTTGATAGACAAAAGTATGTTAAAATTGTACACTGGCTTATTTTACTATGGATTATAGGTGTGGTGAGAGCTGTCTACTCGCCAAATTGGTAGACAGTAATTTACGTCAATATTTACGTTCCCAAGATTTGTCGTGAGAAAATGTGAACAAAGATTGATTCAAAACCGACCACAGCAGACTTTGCGTAGGCGGATGCAGTTAACATATAGAGGATTTGACATTCAAGAAACAGTCACAAATAGATGAAAGATGAGGCTTACGTGAGAAACAACCAATCGGAAGACTGTGTTTGTTTGTTTAGATATCCATAGTAATGTACATGAAAATATATAAATATGCGTTGATTTCCTTAATAAATGATCTGTTGCCTGACTCTTGCCTTCTGTCATTACATAGGTTGTACACAGTTGATGAGAACTAACGAAATGCAATGGATCCTTGTCATTCTGCATCAATGTTTGTTCTTTCTTTGAACTGGCTCATTAATGGCAACTGGATAGATATATCGTGGAGCTTTACTATGGAGTTGTGACCAGTTGGTTGAACCATGTTAGGATGAAGCGGGTACTCATCGATGGCACATTGGCTAAGGGTAGCTAGATTTCATGGGTCATTGAATTCCGATCAAGGAGCTTGTTTTCTTAACCGGAAGGTCCCCGGATGCGATCCCTGGTGAGGTCTTGGGTGCTCACTGATGAGGAGTCCCAGACTAGGACTAAACAGCTGTTCAGTTCTCCCTGGTTTTCAATGGTCTCTTATTATTTTGATTGGACACTAGTAACCAGTGCGATGTGTCTAGTCCTTTCTTTGGTCCAGACTGAATTCTATCAGTCAGGTTTGCAATGTGGCCACCATAACACTAGGTAGCTGGCCATCACGGTGCACATTGATTTGATGATATTAGATAGTTGGAGGCAATCGGCCACAGGAAGCCTTGACTAGACCTAGGTTTCGTGCTAGTTGGCACTCACCAGTCGGCAAGGCGTATCTGCGACCTCGAAGAAACTCATGTCCCTTCTGAGATTCGAACCCGCGTCACCCAGTGCGATCAATCGCGAGGCCGAATAGCTCAGTGGTAACGTTTCTGACTGCAACACTTCGTGATGCGGGTTCGAATCTCAAAAGGGACATGAGTTCCTTCAAGGTTGCAGATACCCCTTTGCTGACTGGTGAGTGCCAACTAGCACGAAACCTAGGTCTAGGCAAGGCTTCCTGTGGCCGATTGCCTCCAACTATCTAATATCATCAGGTGTCTTATTATGTTAAAATTTTTAATGATTTTCACTCAAATTGTGTTTTGTGTTTCTGCAATATGAACGACAGTTTCTCCTGTCGCCTCGTCATCTTATCTTCTCTATCTTGTTTTCTAGTTATGCGCAGCGGGTATTTGGGACGGTGTTAAACAAGGTCATAATGCTGCATTGGCTGCCTCATTAGCAAATAAATCAATACATTTTGGACAAGATGACTCCAAACCACACAATGATTGTTGTTAATACGAGACAAGAAGAGAAGAGAAGAAACAAACATTTTTCACTTTCTGATATTTCCTTTTCCCCCTCCACCCTGTTCTTTGTAAACAAGTCCCTCTCCCCCTCTTTCGCCTCCCTACCTACCTACCATCCAAACATCCTTTCTTTCTGTCCTACCTGCCATCTTCTACCAGAAACAATCATTTCCTGTTTTTTTTTTAATTCAGAGATTATTCAGCAGATATCATTATTATTATTAATAATAATAATGATAAATTGATCTGATCCAAGTATTCTAAGCCGATCAAGACAGACAATTAATTGATCTCAGTTGTTTTTTTCATTTCTACTATTCATTTATTCATATTGTGGAGTTAAATGATCAATGAACAAAAACTCAACAATTGTTTTAATGCATCAATCATCATTCGCCATTTTCGCGCGCCCGCCCGCCAGTTTGTGTGTTTAATGTTTGCGTGGTAATTTTAAACATCTCCAAGATCTATAGAGTGATGGATTTTAGAGACACTTGTTTAAATTTATAAGTTATTTACAATAATTTCCTTACCTACTTAATTGATTACTTATCGTCTTTATTCGTACTAATATCATTCATTTTGACCGCAAATTCTAAGGGTTTTTTTGAAACTTTTTATTTTATTGTGTCTACTTTTATTTGTAAGTAAAGCATTTTATTCGAAATAAAATCAAGAGAGAAACTTTGATTAGACTTTATTATTCTTTAGGTTCTTTTAGGGGCCTAACAAGGATATAGATAGTAATCAATAAATCAGACAAAGGAAATGCGACAGTAGTATTAGACAAATCAGACTATTTGGAGAAGAATCATATGAGGAGATTAGGCAATCAAAAGACACCGTTATGGATAACATGAAGAAATCCACAGCGGATCTCATACTACAAATGAAGCCGTTTCTGGATGAGTCTAAATGGTTCAATTTGATGTCGGTAGCTAAAAGCCCCAGTGGGATGTATGGTGTCGTCAAAGTTCATAAGTCAGGACATCCAATTAGACCTATAGTTGATTTTAGAAATTCACCTACTTGTGAATTATCTAAATATTTAGCTATTGTATTAAATTCCCTTAAAATCCACTCGAAATCTAGACTAACAAATTCTTATGAACTAAAACATAGATTAGATAATTTAAAATTAGATAATGAAGAAAAAAATCTTTAGTTTTGACATTGTCAGTTTATATACACGTATACGAATAAATATGGCTATAGAGGCAGTCAGAAACGAACTCATTTCTGACCAAGAACTCGAACTTAGGACGAAAGTGTCACTTGAGGACATAATGCTGGGAGTGTAACGATATGCCTGACTTCCACAGTATTTCAATTCCAAGCGAAAATATACAAACAAACTGAGGGAGTTACCATGGGTTCAACAATATCCCCACTTGTGGCGGATATATTCATGGATAGGTGGGAAAACTTAGCGATTGAAACATTCTGCCCCACCCCACGTCGAATTATGGTGGAGGCTTGTAGATGACACAGGAAATAAATAGATATTTCGAACACATTAACTCAAAGGTGGAGGCAATTTAATTCAATTATGAATTGGAGAGTCAGGAAGGGGAGCTTCCAATATTAGATTGTAGGCGTAAGGAAGAAAGAAGATGAGAAGTTAAACACACTATTGTGTCTGCGGAAAACCCACACATTCAAACCGATAGATATTTGCTTGGACTTCATTCCATTCTATTAAAGATATCCATTATATGACTTTAAAAAGAGTGAGTTTAGTAAATAAAGAATATTCTTCTCGATGTCCACAAGAATTCTTGACAGTTAGTGTGAGCCAGTTATGTAGGGAGGTGTAGACTTCCTGACTGGGGTCCTCAGGATGTTAAGAACCAATAACGACTGGAAACAATCGGTGATATGGCTCGAAATCATTCTCAGGGATGGTGGGATGCATTCACTACCCTTTGTGATTTCCCGTAGCCATTATAGCCTCATGTTTTTCCATGTAACTGTTCTTTTCTCCCTATATTTCTACTAACTATCGTTCTTTTGAGTCCTATTCTCTCTCTCCTTTTTATACCTCTATGGGCTTAATGAAGTGTAGCAGGTTGAATTACTGTACTTTTATGCAAAGTTCTACGTTGAACCCCAGTCAGTCATTCTTTTCAATAACTTCCTCTGCGTCAGATTCTGCAGTTATATGTCCATTATAATTAAAGGATTATTGTTATGCACAAAATTATTAGATTAAAGTTCAAAAGCATCTGTAGGCGGTAATATGCATCATTATATAACAATAAACAGGCTGAATATCCACCGAATTAAGAATAATAATGTACAGCTGTTTCGTCCTGGTGTGGAACTCTTCATCAGTACGCACCCACAGCATGGGGTTCGAAACAAGCAATTTCTGGTTACAAGGCTACAGAGCTCGTAGACCTTTCAGCTACTGGGACTCAATACAAAGGCCAACCCATGAATTCTAACTTCTACCAATTCACGACATAGCGTGACGACTAGCCAATGTCCTCACACCCAACCTGCTGTACCTTACTGGTCACAATTTGCCCCTAGAACCCAGGTGACTACCTACCTGAATAGACCCAGTCGCTAGTCGATGGGTGAGTACTGATTAAGAGTCCCAAACTTGGCTGACTGAATAGCTGTCCATTATTCCCTGACTGATTTTTCAGTGAATCTCTAACGGATGTCATGATGATATCCTGTAACCAATCAATCAAATCCCTACAAACCGATACTCGAATGCTAGGCCATTGTTGATATATCGGCTCCCATTTTAGGTGGCTACGATTATAACCTGAAGTTAATTAGGCGGTATTTGATTGTTGACTGCTAAAAGTATAAACCATGTGAGGTGCAGAATAATTTCAACAAGGTAAAATTGATACCCATCGCACAAGAGTTAGTTACCGTAACTTAGTAACCTAGTGTGTGTGTAACGAAGCTACCACTTAACAGAATGAAGCTACATCCGTCCAACGAGCCTTCGAAGAACGAGATGCGCATCCTGAATTCCAGCATCCGTCAACATCAGCCCAATATCACGTGTGACAGGCATTTTTCATCACATACATAGTTTTTATAATTCCTTTTTGTCATTCCTTGGCGTTCTAAATAGCATGGCATATAGACCTTCAAGTTCAAACTTTGGAGCTTCAGTTGCGGTGGCATTGTATTTCTTTAAGGGGATGGGGTTACTAGTCTTAAGCCTAAACTTCCTTCCTTAACAGGACTGTTGTCAGCTAAGCAACTTTCGGGAGTGTCTTAATGTCTGAAGAAACGAATCCAGATCACTTGTGGCATAGTTGACAAACGTTCTTCTATTAAGCTTAAACCACCGATACATTTCTATAATAATTCATACACTTATCAAGTACACAACGGGGAATCCACACGATCCTTGGAAGTGAAGAAGTAACTAAGACAAGTTGACTGCCTACCATCTTCGATGATTTTCCTGATTGCAGGCGGTAGACTGGATAATGCGACAGACACAAAGTTGGCAGCGAGGAGACAGGCGTAAAATGGACCCACACAAAAGAACTTGGAGGACCTGGATTTTAGCGATAATATATACATATGTCTGGTTTCCCACAAACTGGAAGATATACAAGTGATGAAAAACAACAAGCTGGCAGAAGAAGCGTCAAAGACAGAACTTCAGGTGAACACAGAGAAAACAGAGGTGATGATGAAGATTCCTGGCCAACGGCAACAGCAACAGACAACAATCAGCATAAATCTTCCATACCTGGGAAGCGTCATTTCAACTACAAGCGGACGGAACTGATGAGGATATCAAAGCGAGTAATTAGAAAACAAGGCAAGCTTTCATTACTCTCAAATCTGTGTGGAGATTAACACTCAGCACACAGCATGAAAAATAAGATCCATATTTTCAACTCTTATATGAAGTCAGTGTTATTGTATGGATCACAGACGTGGCGCGTCATGAAGAGCACCTCAAACAAACTACAGATCTTCATCAACAGCTGTCTTCGCTCATTGCAACTCAACATCAGATGGCAGGCCAGAAAAGACCAGCAACAGGGAGGGATCTCTGGCAATGAGTGGACCAACCCAGCAGGAACCAATTGTGCAACAAATTTGCAGGAAGAAATGGAGGTGGATTGTCTGGTCATACTCTGAGAAAACAAACCGTCAAGTGAGTCAGTGACATCACAAGCCAGGCCATTGCTCTAGTGAGACCCGACAGAATGGGAAGCGACGAGTTGGTTGGTAGTCAGTGTGAGGGTGACATGGAGGAGGAGGTGATGTGAAGAGGAGATGAAAGCATTTGGGCAGATGTGTAGCCAGGTGAGGACGTTAGCAGAGAACCAAAAGCAACGGGGAGGTGCGGTTAAAGCCCTATGTTCCTCTAGGGAACACCTATAAACTTCTACTATCTTTGTCAAATTGACTATTTTTATGTAGCGTTAATTTCTCCTCATGCTCTCTGATAGTCCTTATTTTTATTCTCTTAAGTCTCAAAAAATTATAACCACTTAGTTATGAAGTATGCCATCCATCATTTAACCTGCTTGACTATGTTAAGAATTTCTAAAATGTTGTGTTTTTGATCTTGTTGTTATTGATTAGTTATATGTTTTCGTGTGTGTGTTTGCGTGTGTGAGTTGTATATTAAGAAGGTAAAAATCAATTTGTTTTCATTCAGTTAACAGCTGAAAAGTCTTATGATTGGCGATTCAGAAACTGAGTAATATTTGATGGTGAAGTACTGAACATCTGAAAACCTGCTGCTGTAAGGATACTTGGAACCTCTTGAATAACATTCTTTAATGATGGATACCATCGACGGTTGATTTAGAGAGGGAGAGACATTAACAAGTGAAATGCTCCTCGTCAAGTCACAGTGCAGAACAAGATAATGACTATTATTTTGGTATTGAAAGGTGGTAGTGACATCGCTCAGGGATTGAGGAGCTGTCTAAGTGCATAAAACTTACTTAAGCTTGATACACTTGAACCGAAGTATTCTCCGACAGTACGTGAAACATAATTTGAGTATACTATTTCTCTTGCCCCCCGAAAAGCTAATTGCATTAGATATTGCATGGAGGATTTCATCATGAGCTGACATCAGTTAGAGGACCACTGGAAAACCAGTCTGAGAGTACTGGACAGCTGTTTCGTCAATCCAGTTTGGGACTCTTCGGCAGTATGCACTCACCACCAGGGTTCGAACCCAGGACCTTCTGGTTACAAGGCAAGCTCATAGACCGTCGAGCCACTGGGACCCTATGCAATGATCCTTGAATTCTAATTCCTGCCAATTCACGACATAGTGTGACCATTTCGCAATGTCTTCTTTGACGAGTTACTGCCTCACCTGGATATTGTTGACAAATTCTGAGGAAACCTATTATTATTAATATCCCCTTAGATTCCGAGTCGAACGTGTGGGTTCTACAGCACATCTCCATTTCTTACTGTTCTCCGCAGTCCCATTTAGCTGGCTTCACGATTCCCCATAAAGTCTCAACTCCTCCTCATTACATCATCTCTTCCATGTCATTCTCCGAGTGACGCCTAAATTGTCGTTTCTCATTTGGCTTCCACTCCATTACTTATATGGTGCCACTCAGCGGTCTCCTCAACATGTGTCTGGTTCATCTCCGTTTGTTGGGCAGTAGGTTCTTCTTGATTGGTTCTTTGCTAGAGCTGCTTGTTGTTAATCCCTTCTGG